AGAAAGCAAATAAACTAGCTATGCAACCTAATGATTAAGTTAGAAGAACTTTGGTTCCTCCAACCAACTAAAAAGGAAATTTACTAAGAAATAAAGGTTCTTGTTAGGAGGTGGAATTGAGCACCAAAGACTCCCCCAAGAAACCTAACAAGGTCGTGAATTACAAGAGAAAAAGAAAGAAAGAAAGATTACAAAGCCAAAAATTACAACCAAATCAAAGCTACCTCCCAAGGTGTTTCTTTCCTTTCTTTTTGGCTAACACTCTAGACTTCAAGCTCCTTTTGGGTCTCCACCACCTAGAAGGCTACCTCTAAGATATTGGATCACCTCACAAAGAGAACTTACACCACACAAAGTAACCAAAACCGAAATTGTGCAAGAAGAAACAAGGAATAAAAGCAATAAAAAGATCCAAAAACAAGAAAGGCTTTGCAAAAGGAATTTAATTATGTGAAAACTAAGAAATCCAAGAAGACAAGAAAGAAATTAAAGGCTAAGAAAGAAAGGATAGAACTCAAAAGAAATCCTAATGAAAGGTGCTAGAATAGATTCACAAAACAAAAGTTACTAGAAGAAAAATGGGTGGTTCTTGTCTTTTGGAAACTTTGAGCAAATGGGGCACTAAGACCACTCTTTTAACATCATAGCCAAGACTTTTAGCCACTAAAGTGAAGATAAAAACCCAAAACAGTGAGCAAAACACGTTCCAAAACAGATTGCACAAAAACAGTGGTAGTGGTCTAAGCACACAATATTTTTTAGCACTTTTCTAGGCTCTCTTTAGTACTCTTTTGAGACCTTTTGCTTAAAAGCTTTTAGCACTTCTTTTTCCACTCTTTTGAAGTGCAAAATAAGACCACCACACACTTGGAACATAGGTGATTTATGGGTTTTAAAAGCTACAAAGACAAGAAACACAAAATAGAAGAGAATCCTACTAGAATCAAAATGGAGTTGAAAACTAGAAACGTCAATAGGGAAATTTTTTTTAAGAGCTTGCCAATGATCTAATGGCAAGTATGAATGAAAAAAAATCAAAGATAAATACCCTCAAATGGTTGTATATGGTGCAATTTTGCAAACTAAGTTATATATATTTTTTGATGATTTTTTCAAAGGTTAAACATGGAAATAATTTACCTTTATTGGTCTAAAGAAGACAAAAGATGGCTGGGTTTTCAAGGATGTTCGTATACCTATTGTGGATGAAGTTGAACCCTCTAATGTTAATGAAACTCCTTCTACCTTCACTCCACATACTCAGTTTGGAAGATTTATTGTGGATCAATTTCAAAGGCAATTAACAAGAATTTCAAAAGTTGAAAAATTTGTGTTCAGGATTCACAAGAAAGTAGATGATGTTGTGGAAAACAATGCTCTTAGAGCTCCTTCATTAGAGAAGAAACAATAGAAGAGGATTTTATGAAGGCATCTGACTCAGATTAGGAATTAGAGTCTAAGTTCTAGAATTTGTTTTAGTATCTTTTCTGAAATATGTAAAATTGGATATAAGGCCTTCTATGTTTGAACTCTGTTATTTTGTTATTTCTTATAATGAATGAAATATAAATATTTTGGATTATATCATATTCTTGATTAATTGATTGATTAGATGAATTTGATTGGATAATCCTGTTGTATGAATGCAATCTATTATTTCACTATCATACACACTATCGCATACTCATACCTATTTGATAATTCATATTGCTTCACAACTATTATGTATTCCTGAACTAACACTTAACATAGTTGTGAAAGTTGTGACTTGCAGGGTTATTACAAAATTTGACACGTTTACATGAACATACCCTTTGTCTGGAATAGATTGTCAACTGCTCTACACAAGTTAATCAGTTATACTGTCAGTTAAATCGATTAACAGACAAGAATTTGGTTTGATTCTCATTTCTGCTGAGTCATTATACTGAAACATTCATTCTGATATTAAATGATTTCATGCATTCATAATACTCTTTACTTCATATTTGTTGTATATCAAAATTGAGTATCTTGAACATTGCACATGAAAATACAATGGCATCAAGCATTATTTTCACTCTGATACATGTTAATAAATCTGTTACTACTTGATACATTCTCTTAAAACTCAGTATACATTCTGACATTCGTGATCTGATACATTAATTATACTATACTATGTTAATTTTTATATTTTAGCTTTGATACTGGAATAAATCTTTTGTTTGAAATGTTTGAAAAAAGTTACTGCATCATGATAGGGGGACCATCAATTTCTACAAATGATCTGTTAGAACTTATATTGATGTATCTCTTGAGAAAACATCAATTTCTAGAATACATTTATATTGTAATCGATTAAGATGCGTCAATCTTGAGAAAACTATATATTGACGCATAGCTCTCTACATAAAGAACTTTTGAAATTTCATCTTTAATATCTGACAAAGTGAGTTGAGATAAGAAATTGCAGGCGTGCTCATTCTCCAAGAATCAAGAAACGTGTAGTTTGGAAGATTCAAATGATTCTTGAAGGAATTGTTGTGTTCTTACGTTTGCTAATCATCATCCGCACTCTTAGGTACTCTGAATCAGATCAATGTTAATTTTTCAATCTGTGGATTGTGGTTTCCCTGTTGCTGGTGGCTAGGAATAGAACGTGAGGTTCTGGTTTCTTTGAGGGTTGTCTCAAAGGGTTTCTGTAGAAAGAGGATTGTTTTTTCTGTGTTGTTTGTCTCTATATTAGATTTGGAGTTGGAGAGGAGATTGCATTGAGAGAGGGTCTCTGTAATTCTTGTTGTATAACTCAATCTATATAGTGAAGTGGCTTTCAATCTCAGGTTCATTGAAAAACACTAGATGTAGGCATTGAGGCTGAACCAATATAAAAATCTTGGTGTTTGTCTTTCTATCCCTTATCTCTTTTATTGCATTAAAATCTTTATTTACTTGTGTTTTAAGAAAGGGTAAATTTTCAAAAAGTTTTGAAAAGAATAATTTTTAATACAGAACCAATTCAATCCCCCTCTTGGTTGGGAAATAAGGCCTATCTTTTTCTACAATAAGTGATAATCGATTATTCATGCAACCAAACTCAATATTGATGCCCAATAATCGACTGCGAAACAAAACACATCCTGGACATTATTCAACTCTATAAACACACATGCTGCAACCCTAAATCACGAGAAAACTCCCCCAAAACATCATTCATGTATTTAAGCATCACATACTCTTGTAAACATACTTAAACACATACATCACAACACTTGAATCATTCAAATTTAATCATTGTACATATGATAATCCAAACAAAACAATTATAATGCACATGATTACCACAACACCCTTATAACATATATTTGCATGGAAACCTCCAAGCCTCATAACTTTATTCTTCCTTAGCATCAAACCCTCCGTTGGGATAACCCAACAACCATAAATACATTCATAGGAAAAACCCAACATACATAAACCCTTGCCCACAAGAGCAACAAACAACCATAATCATAATCATATAACATATATCAACAAGGATTATTAATCAAAATAACCAAGAGCACATATAATCATATAATAATTAACATCAAAGGTTAGTTTCCCATACCTTGACCAATTTTAGGGTTTTGTCTATACTCTAAAACATCACCAATCTCTAAGATTTTCAACAACTTTTCCTCTTCTCTTCCTAAAACTTCCTCTCTATCTCTCTCTCTCCCTATCTCTCTCTTTTTCGTTTTAGGTATAGGTTACAATTATGAACCCTAGTTTCCCCTTTCTCCTTTTTTTTTATCTTTTCTTATTCTATCTTTATCTTTTTAGTTAAAATAATATCAACAACCACTAAATCTTTTAAATTTCAGATTTATCTTCCTTTCCTTTCTACACCCCATAACTTAATTTATGCACTAATTAATGAGAGTAAAATGACATTGTTGTCCGTGGTCCAAAATACAAATTAAACCCAAAAGTTTACTTGAACTCTCTTTCTTTCTAGAATTTGGTCCACATCTATTCAATTCTAAATCATCTTTCTACCCCTGATCCAACACATCATATTAATAACAACACACTATCCAAATCATTCAAATAACAATATATCAATCATGTGTTCCACTTAATCAATAATAACATTAAATGATAAACATAATAATTATAATTTTAGAAAACATCTGATCATCAAACACCAATTATCAAACAATAATATCCAAGTCTCATGACCAGATTATTCCTTAATTATCACATTTTCCTAGGGTCTTATACCATACATATAATAGTCTCATATCACTTAAGAGTCAGAAGCAAGTAGAGCGTAAATACTCATTCCTCCTTCAACTCTTTGTTGCCTCTTTTAAGAACAAAACCATGATAGGAGTTACAAGCTCCAAAGTAGATAATATCTTGAATGCAGTAATTGACCTTAAAGATGTTATCTCAACGAAATTAAGATCAAAACATTGACATCATCTGTGGGAACAAAAACTGTTTTAACCCTCAATTAGAGATTTTGTTCTGTAACACATAATAATCTTGCATCGTTTAAGAGTTGAAACCAATAACAATTTAAATATTCCTTCCTCTTTCGAGTATCATATACACCTTTTAAGGAACCGTGGCAAAATTTACAAATTGGACAATATCTCAAATATAATACTTAATTAATGTAATCTCAAATAATTTTAATATCATAACAATATAAAAAGTAAAAATTTAACACAACAAAAAGCAAAACAAATTAAAAAATACCACATGAAGTTGAAGAATTTTAGTATTATAGATTTTCTCTATAAAAAAAATGAGTCTGGTAATAAACTAAATGTCAAAATTCACCGTGAAATTTCATAGAGAATCTCATTTATTTCAATAAGAAAATATATAACTAAACATAAAGAAAGTGTCGAAAAGGAATATTAATAGCTATTTTATTTAGTTATTGAAAAAAAAAACAATGAAATGTATAAACTGCATAAAATAAAATGGAATGTATAAAGTTGACAATTGATGATAGTGAAGTAAGAACAATATTAATTTAGAATTTATTTATTTGGTTACTAAAAACAATCGAACAATGGAATGTACAAAGTAGACTCTCTTTAAAGCTTTCCCCTAAAACACTCTTTCCATGGGTTGGCCACTCCAATTGAATTGAATGAAGTTGACCAAACTCCAACAATAAATTATCCTCAAACACTACGTTCTAAAACCCCTTCATTCACTTTCTCAATCTCTCTCCACTTTTGGACCACACACTAATGAAGTAAGTAGGCTTACTCAGCCCAAGCCCAGTAACTTTTGGCCCACCAAATCGCATTGTGCATGAGCCAGCCCAACCCTTTGTTTCACAAGATCAAACTCCATCCACATATTCTGTTGTTGGTGATGACCAATTATAAATGCCTCAACACCAAGCAGATCCGAATTCCCAAAGGTGAAGCAATAAACCGAATCATTACCCCGAACCAAATCCGGTACCCGATATAAAAGTTGGTCACCGGAAACCCGCATCTCGGCCCCTTCAAAAACCAAACTCACGCTTGGTAACTCGGGTAATTCGGACCGGTTCATGGGCACCCTGTAACAGAGATCCATTGCTATCTGAAATGCAAAATTCGGATCGTCCAACACCCTCAATGTACCATTTGTTTGGTTCAAGAACTCATCTCTCAATGCATTATAAACCGGGCCAAGTAAGAACGTAAATTGGGTACCCAAATCAAACATAGTTTGACCCGCTCCGGTGTGATCTGGAACAAAAAGGTTATCCGATATGTTTAATAATTTATCCGAAACCTTAATTCCTTTGAACCGAACCGTGTACGCAGACCTGTCGAAATAAGGTAAAGGAGTGGATATTTGAACCAAGGAGGTATAATTTAACGACCCGCCCCACGAGAAATTGGACTCCCCGAGAAGTAAAATGCCGGAAAAATCAGAACCTGAAATGCAGTAGGAGAATTTGGGAGTTTTTAATTGAGAAACCAAGGAGAGTGACCCGAGGTTCATACCCATTAACCCGGTTGTGTTGGAATCGGATTCGGAGTTAGTGGTGTAGGACGAGTTCATACAGCCGAATATAACTCCCCGGTTAACGGAGGATCCGAAGCGTAGTGTGTCCGAAGCGAGATTCCCTTCCGAAGAGGAAGCGTCGGCGTATGAGAGAGTCGCGTGGCAGAGGTTGTTGGAGTCGCAGGAAGCGGGTATGGGAAAATCTCGGGTTCGAATCGTGCAGGTTGATGAAGAGCACGGGATTGGCGAGTAGGTGGAGGAGGCATTCGGATTGAAAAAGGGGTCGGGCAGGAGTGGGTTTGTGTTTGTGTGGTTATTGCAGTGGAGCCATGAGAGTTCGCTTCCTGTGTCAATGACCATGGAGACGTTCTGTGGGGGTGTGCCAACTGTGATGGAGATTGTGAGGCTAACGTTGTGGTTGAATCGTAGCTTGTTGGGTGGTCTTGGGAGATACCCAGATGGAATCACTTGTGATTTTAGTGGCAAAGTTAGAGTCTTGGCCTCAGACGTGGTAAGGGATGTTCGTAGGATGAGGATAATGGCAAGGCTGAAACATCGGGTTAAAACGGTGTGGTTGCTGCATGTGGTTTTGGGTCTCATTATGGTTTTGGAGACTGCAGGGTTATCGGGTTTGTTTGGGTTTTTAGAAAGGAGTTTTGGACTAATTGTGGAGAAGTAGGTGTTGCAAATTTTGGAGGCAAAGAAAAGCATAGGAATTGCTTGAAGGTTTAGAGTTATAAGTAGGAAAAGTCTGAAGAAAAAGATCTGAGAAATAGCAGAGAAGACTTTGGTTGTACCTGAAATCTAGTTAACGTACGTCTCTTTCTTTGGTACGTCTATCTATTATATTTGTGTTCATTTTTACTATCTCCTTTGGAATTTTGTGGTTTTAACTGAAGATTTCACTTTTAAGGCACACGAAACTGAAACAACAATTTTAATGATTTTGTAAAAATAACCTTAGACAGCGATTCTCAAATATGTCTACCGCATCAAGTTTTAACCCTACCATATGGTAGTTGGACTTTCAAATTAATTTGAGATTGACGTGACTTCTTTTCTCTTTTGGACATGCAAAATGAAAGGTTCTTTGCTCCGTGTTGTTGCCGTTGCAGAATGTTGCACTTTGTCTAATTAAGACCCATAGTTCAAAAGGAATTTTTAATTTTTGCCTTTTAAAATTTATCATAGATTTCTTTAAATTCTTAAACTTATAATTATTATGTACTTAAATATAAATCAATATTTCAAGAGAAAAATAAAATGTGAATACGAAAAACTATTGCATATGAATGCAAAATCAAAATCAATTATTATATAAATGCGTTGTATTTTATTAGTCACTTTAGTAAAGTTCTATACAGCGTTTGTTTTGTAATTCTTGTTTTTCGTAAAGTTATAAATTTCTTAGCATAGATTTGAGGTAATAAATTTGGTTAAACTTGTTTATGTTTGATCAATTTGAATCGGTGGCATGCATTGCTTTCTCTTGAACATTGGAAGAAATAAATAATATCAATCAAATTATATATAAAAAAGATGAATCTATAGATCAGATTTATCATTATTGATTGAAAAAATGACCTATGATGATCCAAAGACATTCTAGTACTAACTAACATCACAGCATTTATAGTGAAGGGTTTCAAAAAGCTTAGTTTTTTGCTTACTTTACAAAGGAATATGATGATGATGGCACCCTTGTGGCATAAGCATATATTTATAAAGGCTGCTTTATGAAGTTATCAGCCTTTCTTAGTTGTTGTAGATGCCAAGAAACTATCTTAAGGCAAAGCATGTGATGCATTTCTTAAACGGAATATGGATGTGTTAGATCCAATCAAAATATTCTTAAGTTCGAAATTCGTATATATTTATATCTTCTCTACTTCCTTTTTAATACTAATATAAATGTACAATATATCACCTTTTTATATACTAAACATCACTCTTGTATCAATGGAAGTTGTATTATGTGAGAATGAGATATTTTGAAGGTTTTATAGAAAAAATGTAAAGTTGAGAGAATAAGAGAAGTAATACAATAGTACAATAAAAAATAAAATTAAGATGCAATTAATAAACCTAAAATATAAACTTAAAAACAAGAACTTGTTCTTATAGATTTATTGAATTAACTAATGCTCAATTGAATTAGTAAAACATATTAATTAAATTTTAGTTACTAAAAGCTTTTAACGCTCTTATTTGCTTTAGGAATTGAAAACTCCAATTTTTTGTTTTAGAAGTTCAAATTTGTTTACAAGCATTGTCTTTATAAATATATCAGTAATATGATATTTAAGACTTGTAGTGATCTAAGTTTATTTCTTCATTTTGTTATATCTCTCTCAAAAAGTATAGCTTGATGTTAAAATGTTTAGTCCATGACATAATGTTTGCAATGACAATTATTGCTTGATTGTAAAAAAATTAGTTTTGTTCTATTGTAAAACTAAATATCTTAAAATCTTTTTAACCATAAAGTTTGATTTACACTTCGTGCTACTGCTATGAATTCAACTTCATCAGTTGATGATGCTACAATCTCTTATTTCTTTATGCACCATGATAAAACTCTCTAGCCTAGATTGAAACAATATCTTCAAGTACTCTTCATGTCATCATCAATGGATCCAACCCAATCACTATTAAATAATCCATAAAACTTTGAATTCTTGACAATTCTCAAATTTGACACCATAATCAATTATGTTTTTCAACATATCTCGATATTTTGTTTGTTGTTTTTAAATGCATTTCACTTGCACAATACATAAAATGAGACAAGAGGCTTACAACAAGTAGAATGTCTAACTTTGTCATAGAGATATACATTAAACATCCAATCAAGTTCCTATGATATCCTTAATCAATTTTATCTGCATTCCTCAATTTAAAATTTCTTCAATTTTTTCTTTATATATTTTCTTTGACTTGTTAGAACGTCAATCTCACTTTGTTTAATCTCAATTCCAAGAAAATAAGTTGTGAGACATTACTACAAAATTGTGCATAGACAACACTCTTTTTTTTCATAGACAATGCTTTTTAGGTGTTGGCTATTTGAGCGTTGATATACAACACTTCTGAAAAAATGTTATCTATTGACAACCACTAACAGACAACACTTATTTAAAAAAGTGTTTTTTATTGGTGGCTATTAATAGACAACAATAAACAAGGAACCTCTTGCCTTTTACTTTCTTGCTTTCCTCTCCTTATAATTTTCAGTTCAATCCATGGTCAAATTTCTTTTAAAGGAAGAACTTCGTAGTCTTCCACAACATATTCTCAATGATCATTTGTCTCTTAGTGTACCTCTATTATAGCTACCTAGATATGATAATTATCACCATTAAACACCAACGATGCTATAATGTTGTGTCAAGAGTTTTATACATTTTTTATGAATTGAAGCAAGGTAGGTTTATGGTGGGTAACATGAACTAATAAGTCCTTTTAAGAAAAATGATCTTGACTACAATTCGAAGGTTTTATGGTGAAAACATAAAACTGAGAGAAGAAAGGAAAAAATATGATTGTAGAAGAAAAAGAAATAATTTATTCTTACACACTATATTCAATGAATCACAACAATACCATATATAAAAAAAAATAAAAATAAGATGCACTTAACAAATCTAAAACAAAAGCTTCAAAAGAAGCTCTTGAAGTTTAGTAACCATTTATTGACTCAACTAATGCTTAATTAAACTAGTGAAAAATATTAATTAAATTTTAGTTGCTAAAAAACAAGGTTTAAAGATTGCATAACCCATTTAGTTTAACACAATACAAATAATTGTTGACTTACTAAAGCAAAAGTCTTTGTTTCAATCTTCATCAACTTATATTTAATTCAACCTCAAACATACCTCTTCACCTCTAAGAATGAACATGTCGAACAAATTATATATTTTTGACATACTAGGAAGAGTTGATACTTAAATTGAGAGTTGTGAATCTAATGAGTCTCGAACCATTGAGCTATCTATATACAAGAGACCTAAAGTCACCACCAACCCAAAATCTTAAGATAATGTATTTGAAGATCTTTCTTCTTATATATTACTCACCTCACTCATCTCCCCTCACAATATGAGACTCCTAACCTTGTACTTAGATTCCTCATAAGTCCAATAACGGATAATACAATCGTCTCAAAGAACTTAACTAGGATGGACTCTAAATAAGTTTAATACCATCTTAATAATAAGTTTATCTCTAACTCAATCTCACAAAATTGACTTTAGTAAAGTTTACACTCCATTTATATATTATGATTTAATCATATCCCTAATTCACATGAAATATCCAATATACATTTTAACCATATCAGAACAAAAATTTATTCCCAATTTTCATGATCTCAAACTTTTAACCAAATTTGAATAAATATTAATTTTTAGTTTTCATAAGTTTGAATTTGATTTTATTTGAATATTAAAAATGAATGATAATATAAGTGTCATTAACAATGTCTTCCAATTTAAATTTATAATAATCAAAACATTCACATGTTAAGTAAATGACTCAAATCACTTAAACTCTTGAGTCTTGATTGAACACTTATTCACTTGTTGTTTATTATTTATTCAATATAGAAAAACTTAATTATGATTAAAAGAAAACCAATTGTTAGAGTTGGCCTAAAACCAATGCATAGGTGGAAAATCAACACTCAAATGTTGGCAACTAAAACGGTGGACAATTAAATAGTAGCTTCAACTATTGGCAAACGCTCATAGTGTGGATTAAGCGGATACTAATAACATGAACTAAGAAGACGCTATAGTAATGTTGGCTAAGTGGATGTTAAGTGGACATTAATAACAATAACTTAAAAAAAATCATAATATGAGAAAAAATATAAAATAAAGAACGAAGCGAGTGAAGAATGTCGATGAAAAAAATTTGAACAAAAAAGAAGTATGAAGTAGGTGAATGTAGATGAAGAATATAAATGTGAATGAAGGGAGTGAATATGAATGAAGAAGATAAGTATAAACGATTAAGATAAGAAGAAGAATGTGAATGACTAAGTTAACGTCCATTAAGTCCATAATAACCTTATTTATTTTTAATATATTTTTTATAGTTAATATCCTGACAATAATTTAAGTAAATATAATCTTAGAAACAAAGTGTTTAATAAGTCAACACTAACCTATTTGTTTTTAATATCTTTTATAATTAGCATTCGTTAAATTATTAAAATAGATAAGTTTAACATCAATGTTAATCTTATTTATTTTTAATATTCTATATAGCTAACGTAAGATACTATCTTAAATAAATATAAATATTAAAATATGTTAAATCAACACTAATCCAAATATTTAAAATTATTTTTTTTATCTTTTTAAAAATTTTAAATTAATCACGTGTGCCACAATAAAGTTAACTAAAGAGATGGGAAAAACATTTTAATTTGCCTGACTTTAATATTTAGAAGCTAAATTAATATTTTCTTAGTGTACTATGTTTATAGATAGATAGATAGAGAGAATAAGAACACAAAAACCTATAATAGAAAGATATAATTAAACGTATCATATACGTTCTGAAACTAATTTGATTGTGATTATTTATTGTAAAATCAGTTCTTACTTAAACGTTGGAGTCGTATCCGACATATGGGAACTTCAAAGAGCTAAAATCAAGGATGATTGGACACGTATGTAAAGTTACTATCAGAATCCAATAAAAAGAAAACTGAAAATGGGAGCATAGTGATTGAATTTACGAAAGAAGCATTCCTATCCTTGGCATTCAATGCCTAAACAATAA